CTATGCCCAACGATAAGCAATTCATTGCTTTGTGAGAAAACTTTAACTTCCTCTTTATTGAAGATGATCTTTAAACCATGCTTTTCCATTTTGAAAACAGATAATAATTTTTTTCTTAATTGTGGTACATAATACACATCATTTAATATAATATCAACTTTAAAATCACTGAAATAACATTTTATTGTTCCTACACCAACAGCCTCTAAATCAACGCCATTTTTGGCAGCTGAAATTTTAATTGGCTTATCCAGTTTACAATAATTAAAGAATAAACTAATGTCATTTACAAGATGAAATGAACTACCTGAGACAACAACCCATTTAAAACTATTTTTATTCTTCTGTTCGGTGTCAGGGCTAAAGGACATAAAACTTACAAATTTGTTACCTTCAGTATTTTCAGTGCTTGTAAGAAATAACTTTCCTCTACCTCTCCCCTGGGTCTGATGACGAGTTGCCTTACTGTCGTCTCGGCCTCCGTTGTACTTCCAGTCGCTACGTCCGCGGCCGTGAAGTCTCCAGTCCTGTGTCGTGCCTGCTGAGTGCTCCTACACTGGGATTTTTTGTGTCCGGGGCGTCCACATCCATAACACAAGAAGATTGAAGAGTGTAGTGTTATGCTACTTACATACCATTTTACACTATTTTAAATTTATTTTTCCATTCTGTTTTTGATTTTCTGCATTCATCTCAAAACTGGATATTTTGCATCACCTTTATTTCCATAGGTACCTGTAACATTTTTAAACCATAAGAACACAATAACAAATCATTTTCACTTCGTATTTTCACGTTATCAGCACTTTTTAAATCGGTGTCAATGGAGTCTACCTTTTTCGATCTTTTATTTAGTTCTCCGTAACTCTGCAATTTCGGGCTTCGTGCGCACTGTTGCGCTACCTTTTTTTCCTATATAAATAATATCTCATTTTTCACTTAAATCTTGCCGTTTCTGTATTACGAGCTTAAAACCAAAATTTGACATGTTTTGACATCGTTGTTTATCTGGTTGTCGTGGCAATTTTTATTCAAATATTGTTACCGGCCTGATGTTTTTACTTCAAAAATACTCTTTTCTTCTTGGCCATTTACAAAAATTTGCTTTTAATTTAAATAATTTCAAATAATTTCTCGTTCTTATCCCAGATCCGTCAAAAAGGATAAAAGCCGAAGAATCGGCCGATAGAGGTCCTCACTTCAGCTTTGATACGAGAAGCACCTCTTAAAGGCTTTATCCGCACTGCCTCGGGATCTTGCAAGCCTTCTCCTGAAGTCGTCGCCTAGCCACGCCTACGCCTCCACCTATTAGTGCCCGCGCTATCTTCGGCCGCTGAGCGTGTTTGTCTCAAGCGCTGCGTGTTCCTACTCCAGACGCTGCGTGTCTACTCCGGACGCTGTGTGTGTCTACTCCGGACGTTGTGTTTGCCTACTTCAAGCGCCACGTGTACCTACTCCAGACGCTACGTGTCTACTCCGGGTGCTGCGTGTATCTGCTCCGGGCGTTGCGTGGGCCTACTCCAAGCGCTGCGTGTACCTTCTCCAGACGCTGCATGTGCTTTCTCCAGATTCTGCGTGTACCTAGAGCAGGCGCTGCGCACCTATCATAGGCATAGCCTGTGCATACTTCGTTGCAGTATCTTTATTTTTGTTATTTTTTTTTAATAATATTGTAAATCACTATCATCATTACAGCCCATCATCACCTTCATACCTTTTTTTATAAAAGAAACTGTAAATCTTTTCAAATTTTTAAATAATTTATTTTATTTTTTGGTTGTTTTGTTGTAGTTAGGTTAGGTTATTTAGTTTTTAATTGTCGCTTCACGACAAGAGTCAAGGGATTTGGTCGCTCCTCCGTTCCGTTTTTCCTCTTCCTCAAGCAGTCTGTTTTTCACGAAGTCCATTTTCAATTTCTCCACAGTTACGCAGCAAAGCCGTGATAATGCCTTCATAAGATTTCGGCATGGATAGGAGTAAATAGTTAAAAAAGTTGTGCAAATAGCTTTTCCATGTCAATAAAATGTTCCATTAAACGTTTCCGTTGGTAGAATTTCATATCGGACAACTCTCTTCTTATAAATAATTTAGATCGTGTACCTTTCTTCTTAAAGCTGTCTTCCATGCTTTTAATCATTTGATAAGCAGATCTGTCCTTTAAGTATTCGAGGTGACCCATGACGCTTAGCTTCCAATTGCAATTGCTTGTTATCCGTAGATTTACTGAAATCCTCCTTTTCGATCGCCTCTGTTGCTCCATTATTTCGCAGGATACTTTTTAATCGAAACTCCCACGCGTTGTAATTGTCCCCCGCCAAAAGGACATTTTCATATTTTTCTTTTGACATTTTCTGTCCTTTAACACTTATTAATCCACTATAAAACTGATGGCCGTTCTGGGCCTATAAACCTGTTAAGCATTATGGGGATAATTAAGGATATAATACTTTGAACATAAAATGTGCCTTTTATTAACCTCAAAACAACAACATGGAGAGCCTATAACGTCATATTGAATCTTCCTTCATAACCACAGACACAGTGTTGACAACCGACGCAGTGTTGCCATTAAAATACAATATTATATAAATCATTGTTAATTAACAAGTACTTGTATTTCATTGTTTGCAACTTGTTTGTATTTCCTAATTAGTACAACTTTTGTACTTGTATTTCATTGTTTGAAATTTTCTGTATTATCTAATTCTCACTACAATAAAGTATTTACTTATTTATTTAATAAACAAAAAGTACCCAAAACCGAATCAGAGCACCCCACTATCCACGTGGTCTTGTCTGCCCTACCCCTAGAGTGTATATTAGAGCTCGGAGGCGCGTCGTAGATACGACGATCTCGGTGCCTGCGCTTTCCTACGCTAGGGCGGGCACTGCTCATCCCGCAGCACCGGAACTGCCACGGAGCGCTGGAGCACGACTTCCCCACTTCTACCCCCCCCTCACTTCCTAGCGACTAACCCCCTCACCCCACTTCTAACCACCCACTCTCCTCCCATAAGCCCCATCCTTTTAAAACCTCATATATCGATTGTCCATATTGAAAAGTCAAAGTCTCCAAAATTAACGAAATATACTCGATACCAAGTAGTATTGATACTTTCGATGCGATATTTGGTATCGAGTAGGTATCGATACTTTCAAAATTTTCGGAACTCTACACTAATTGAAACGTGAAGTACAGTGTTGCCAACTTGACGAGTTTCTCGTTACATTTGACGGGACAGCAAGGTTGGCAACGGGAAAAAATTGTGTTTAACGGCTAACGAATTTTTTAACGAGACAATTATAAATTATGTTTTTTGAGATTTGTTTTCGAAATAAAAATAATATGGAAATGACAAAAATTAACTCTAATCTACTTTTGTTATTTTTGTCTCTCCTATTGAGTTCTCTAAACAATTCTTTTGTTTGTAATACGGATGTTTGATCTGTAATAAAAGTTTTTGTTGAATACTCGCAATTGTTTTTATTAAAAATGGGAAAAATGCTAGAAATCCTACGTATTAACAAATATGCCGTCAAAAATGGTTTCAAGATATTCTATGCAAAGTTTGGAAGGTATGCAAGGTTCGTGCGAAAAGAAACAAGTCCAAGAGACTTAGTGGGATCTTGTAAATATTGTAAGTGTGTTGTAAATAAAAATAACAAATATTGACGAAGTGTACTAGAATGATTCGGTCACTAGAAAGAATGATTGACACTTGTCTACCGTACTTGACGGGATTTTAGTGTTCTCTACAACGGTAGCTAGATTTAAATGTTGGCAATACGGTTAGATTTGACGGGACAGCGAGGTCAAGGTCGAGATTAACAAAAATGCCGTAATGAGTGGCTTCAAGATATTCTATGCAAGGTTTGGACCGTGCGAAAAGAAACAAGTCCAGGAGAATTAGTGGGGTCTTGTAAATATTGTAAGTGTGTTTTAAGTAAAAATAAATATTGACGAAGTGTACTAGAATGATTCGGTCAATAGAAATGAATGATTAACACTTGTCTACCGTACTTGAAGGGATTTGACGGGATTTTAGTGTTCTCTACAACGGAAGCTAGATTTTAGTGTTGGCAACATAGTGTTGACAGCTTGACGGGTTTCCCGTTAGATTTGACGGGACAGCGAGGTCAAGGTCGAAGCAAATAACACGCACTTAAAAATAAATTTGACAAATAATTGATGTCAAACGTCAATCACTTATTGACGTTTGACATCAATTATTTGTCAAATTAGGGGAGTGACCCGGTGACCTATAAAACAGGTAGTAAACATCTCTCAAAACTAGGACTCAATACGTTTATAGTTTAACATGTTTGTCATAAATAATTCTGTACCTGTTTGTGATGAGAAAATAAGTATAATTTCTATTCTATTCTATATAAAGTGTGTACTGAGTGAAATTATCGACTCGAGATAAACTCGGTCAATGCCGTTGCGGCAAATATTTTTATAATAAAAAATATGGTTGTTGATAGTAAATACTGATTAAAAAACATTAGGTTCATTTGATTGTCGTATTTATTAAAACTATGCTACCGTTAGTAGATATAATCGATTATTAAGCAACATCGGTTAACAATCGATTAATGCGTAATAATTAAAATATTTACGTGTACTAATTTCATCACTAAGTTTCATAAATAATAAAAAATATATCAAAATGGATTATAATAAATTAATTAAATAACATAAAAATTACACATCAATAAAATTCCGTCCACTGAAATCCATCCTAAGAAAACTTGTATTATGGAAGATCAAGTTCGTTTAGTCTATATACTCACAGTATCATAGTGCGAGTGAGTGAATAGATATGAAAGAAAGTATTGCTCGCTTAGTTTTGCCGCCCGCTCGTTGCGTAAAATACCTAAATTTGCGTAACGCCGAAATGTAAGAGGGCTCTTAAAGTGGGTTCGAATCAAACACTAAATCGAATTCGAAATCAATTACGGAAGAAGGCCAGCAGTTTTATAATATTTTACCATTTTAGGATTGTGGGAAACTGTAAAAACCAAATCACACGAATGCTGTAAGGCTGGAGATGTTACAACGCTATCATTGGGTCCCATTAAATGTTATGGTAAGCATATTTAAAATTCCATAAATCAATTAAATTAATTGACAAATATATAAGCGCACAAATTAAATTTATCGAAAAATATATAAGCGCACAAATCCATAGGTATTATGAAAGTAATAATATATTAACTAGCAAACAATATGGTTTCCAACCTCAAAAGAATACCTCACAACTACTTTCTGCATTCACAGACAGTTTGTACACGCATATTGACTCTAAAGAGCACATTCTAGTCGTTTTCATTGATTATAGCAAAGCTTTTGACACGCTAAGACACAACAAATTAATTCAAAGCTTAAATGATAGCGGAATTAGAGGAAAATTACTAGCGTGGTGTGAAAATTATCTCCATGAAAGATCTTATCGAGTAAAAATTTATGATGCTCTTAGTTTCCCTGTCCAGGTAACTGGAGGCACAGCACAGGGCTCAGTTCTTGGACCTTTACACTTCCTCACCTACGTAAACAATCTTTCTAATTTAATTAAACAGTGTGAGATCTATCAGTTTGCAGATGATACCTGTTTAGTAGCTGCTGGGCGTAGTATACAGGAGGTACTAATGAAACTTCAAAAAGAGTTTGACATACTGAGGAAGTGGTCACACGACGTCGGTTTAGTACTCAATACTGCCAAAACTAAACTTATGTATATAAGTACAAGCCACAACAGAAGTTCTTTTATACCTAAACTAATAGCGCACACACATCACTGCCTTCATATACAAAATACTGACAATTCGACACCCTGTAATTGCGATGCCACAGAAATTGTAAATAAGCACACATATCTTGGTCTAATAATTGACGATCGGCTAAACTGGAAAGAGCATGTAAATCGTGTTTGTGATATATTAAGAGGGATATTAGCAAAATTTATATAAATAATCAAACAAAAAATACCTTACAAAACCTCTTTAATGCTCTATAAATCCTTAGCTGAATCTGTTATACAATATGGCTTGTCAAGCTATGGGAGAACCTATAAAACATATCTAGATCGAATATACTCACTTCAGCTGCGCATTTTAAAACAAATAGTCCCTAATAATCTCAAAATTAATTTTAAAGATCATTATCGAAAACTATTTTCATTTTGTAAAATTATACCTATTCACGACAAAGTTGAACTAACATTACTAACTGAAAATTACTTTACTGAAAATTTTAAAAAGGTAGGTAAGTTATTATACTCCGCACGCAGAACTGATAATCTAAAACTGCAATTACCTAGATATAATAACTTATACGGAAAAAGAACTTTAAACTATGTACCTAATCTAATCAATCAGTTACCTAAATCTTTGAAAGACGTCATTACACGTAAAAACATAAAATATAAATTATTTTTTTTTTATTTACAATTAACTCTTACTAAATACTCGTAACACTTTAAACAACTTCTCGTTCTATATTATTGGTTTACTTTACCAACATATCATCTTATTATAAATTTATGAAAATATATTTTATAAAATCACAGAATGTAATAAGTTCACTATGTGATTTTACGCTCATCGCCTAAAACTGTTTTATATTTTTGTACAAATAGTTTGTCAATTAGAAACATAAAATTTAATGTACATAAATTAAATTGATAATAATATTAATGTAACTTTGGTAATGTAATGTATTATAAAGTGTTAATTATAATAATGTGTCGACAGCAATGGTGTACGGAAAAACTCTAATGAGTTTATGTTTACACTAAAACTATTCATCTTTGTAATCATAAATTTCTTAAATAAATAAATAAATAAAAAAAAAATCCAATATTAATAAAGCCAAACTTTTACATATTTCACTTATTCATGAGGCATTGAAATTTAGTAATTAAACGTTCAAAACTTATGAAAAATTATTATTTTTTGTGTTCCATTTAATATAACTTGTTGACTTATCCATTTTCCCCAGTGAATTTGTGGGTAGGTACATAAAAATTTGTGTACTCTTAACTGCTTTATTATATTATACAGGTTCTTTATATTGCTTATATATGTATTGTGTGTTTTTGGGCACACATCTATTAGTAAAAAATAAACGCCATAACAAATGGTTTATCTGGAAGTTATCGCTTTAAACGATAGCGATAAACCACCTATAAGTACAGATAGTCTATATTATTCAATGTTTGTGTTGGAATATTAGTCTCAAAATTATTTAAATGAAAATTAAACATATTATTAGAAATAATATGCTTATTAACGCAGCTGAATGTAGTATACAGATTATAATTAACAACACTATGGCAACAAAGTTGTAGTAAAATAAAACAATCCAATATAGTTACGTAATAAAACGGAAAGCACAGTACCTAAGCAATAACAGCAATGGTAGAGCCACGCGGCATTTTGCTGTTGCATGTATGTGCCGGCTTGAACCGGGGCAGTGATGTGTCAAGCGGCGTGAAGTAGAAGTTTTGCTTCCGCATTTCATCTGGTGAATCACCCCCCCCCTTCCATGCTAGCGGATTTAAAAACAACACTACACCAGGAGGGTACTACCACCCCTTGTGACGGAGAATCCCTCGCTAAGTATCCACGCCCAAGCTACTCTTCCTGAGGGTGTGTGCTTAGGCTACCCCGCGTATTCCGGGGGGAGGCAAAATACTGCTCGAGATAAAACCTGCTTGGGGCAACGGAGCAATAAGACAAGGGCGTCCCCCCGCGACGCTAACGATGAATTTTTGCAGCATCAGGGGACTTCATTCAAACTTAACGTCATCCGTTACCGTCGGGAAACGGCGAAGCCGGCCTTGCATTTTCTAACCGAGACACAGGTGTCCTCTCCGGCTGATACTTCGTATATCTCCTACCCGAGGTAAAAATTAGAACATTCCTTTGTACCCCCGGGCTGGAAGTTGCGTGTATGTCAGAGAGGACATCTGTTTTCGACGCCTCGGCAACCTTGAAGGTACGGATCTCTTCATCCCATGGCTGCGCGTAGACAGCAACGACTATCCTCACGTCTACGGGTGCCTTTATAGGTCCTATAGCGATTATGCCGACACAGACCGACTCATCGACCACGTCCAAATAGCTGCAGATTCCGTGCTGCAACAGGTCCTATTCACAGATATCGTGATGATTGGTTATTTTAACGCCCACCACGCTGAATGGCTTGGTTCCCGTTTAACCGATCATGCAGGTAGATCTGTTTATGACTTTGTTTTGGTATTTGGTCTGACCCAATTGGTTACCTCGCCTACGCGGATCCCAGATGTGAACGATCATGTACCTTCCCTGTTGGACCTCCTACTGACCTCTCATCCATATATCAGGTCTCCGTCGATGCCACTCTTGGCTTGCCTCTAGTCCGAGGGACTAATATCTGATCCTGAGTACGGTGGTACTCACGCTCCCATCGCGAATGCATTCTGCAGGTTGCCGCCGCGTTTAGCATTATGAGTCAGCCGATTGAAACGGGATGCGATATTTTTTGCATCCTACCCTTGGGGCTTGCTTCTTCCCGGATGATCCCAGAGCTGTTGCTGATTCTCTCACTGATGTCACGGTACAGGAAATGGAACTTTTTGTTCCATCATTTGTGGTACCTATCGGAGGCAGAACCCAGCCATGGTGTGGTCGCTCTTGCAAAACTGCATTCCGTCACAGGCAGGAGTGCTACCGGGTCTGGGCTGGTGTATCAACTTCCCGGGATGTAAACACCAGGGCCTTAAAAAAGAAGTATAATTCCGCCTCCAGGTCCTTCAAAATAGTCATTGTCAGGGCAAAGTCGGAGCACATTGGCAGAATTGGCGAGAAACTAGTTCCACTTCCTTCAGCAACACGTGCATTCTGTTCTCTTGCCAAGGATGTCCAAAGGAACTATTGTCAGCCATCTCTCCCGTTTCTGCACGGGAAGGTCGACTCATTGGCCCATGCCGCAAAGGAAAATGCCGATTTGTTAGGCTCTCTCCATGCGTCCGTCACACCGCACATACACCACCAACTATCCCGCAGTGTGAGTGCTCCATGCATGATGTGCTGTTTACACAACGTTCGGTGTGCAGAGCACTCCTCTCCCTGGACGTCAACAAGTCGAGTAGGTCTGATGGCGGCCTCCGATTGTGCTGTGAAACCTAACCTTACTCATAAATAGGCGGAGGCAGTATGGTCCAAGGGGGAGACGTTCGCCGTTAGTGCGGACATAACAAAGGCCTTTGATCGGGATTGGCACAAAGCGATTCTTACGAAGCTTCCTTTCTATGGGCTTCCCGAGAAATTTTGCGATTGAATCATCAGTTTTCTTGCAGATCGGAGCATCAAGGTCGTAGTAGATGGTGCATGCTCCGATTACAAGCCGATTAACGCTGGTGATCCACAAGACTGTGTGCTATCACGAACGCTGTTTCTTTTGCATATCAATGATATGTTCTGAATGTTACCATTCACTGCTATGCGGAAAACAGCACTGGTGATACTTTATGCACCGGCCATGCCATATTTCGCGGGAAAGGGTATCTGAGTACCGGGACGAACTTGTGTCTGAATGCTAGACTTTGTTGTTTGTAGGGTCGACTAAATCTAGTCTAGTTTAATCTCAAGAGGTGTTGCATCTCTTTGCGTATTTTGTTGCGTTTACCACGAAGAGAGCTCTGAGAGCTCTGGTTCGACGTTATCGCTCCCGAGAGTCCAACACACTATCCTTATACAAATAACCAACATCCGGACTTCCTTGATATAGCACTGCTAAAAGACATCCGACTTAACATTAATTCGATAGAGGTTATTATCGAATTAGTCTCAGACCACAGGCTGGCCGTTTTATAACTGGGCCGGCCGGTAGGTGAGGTCCCTCAGACCAAAACTATTGTCGACTGGCGTAAACTTGAGGTCAAACTTAAGTCTACGAATTCCCAGCATTTGGACACTATACCTGACAAGATAAACTCGTTAGAGGAGGCTGATAGGGCGATTAGCGCCCTTTCGACTCACCTCACATCAGCGGTCGAAGAATGCTCCCGTAGGGTTCTGTGTCGAGCGATCAATACACGAAACTTCCGGCGGATATTTGACGGCTGATTAGAGCGAAGAATTCCGCGCTTAAAACTTATGACCGCTACCGCACGGAAGCCAATAAACTTCTGGTACGTTCTCTACAAAATGAGATTAAACAACGAGTAGCCGAATTTAGAAACGATAGCTGGCTCTTAGAAGGTATCGAACCATCTCAAGACGCTTTCTGGAAATTAACGAGAGCTCTTAAAGCCGATAAATCCTCATCGATGCCGCCTCTCGTGAGGCTGGACCACCTTGATCTCGCCCTAGGCGATCTCGAAAATTCCGAATGCCTAGCCGACAGTCTAGAGTACCAGTGCACGCCATCCACCGCACCAACAGATACCGCTCACCTACTAGAGGTAGAAACGGAAGTAGAACGTAGGTCTGCGCTGCCACCAGCGGGCGAACCACTCGATCCTGTGACAGTAGATGAAGTCACCGAAACCATCAAAAGACTTAAGAATAAATCAGCCCCTGGGCCCGACGGCATCAGCAACAAGGTGATCAAATCCCTTTCGGCGCCACTTATTTACCTCCTTGTAGGAATATTCAACACTTTTCTCACGAACTGCTCCTTCCAGGATTACTGGAAAGAAGCAGACGTAATAGGGATCCCAAAACCGGGCTTTCGTCCCGTCCCTTTAGCTACTTTGGGTAAACTATACGAGCGCATTATTCACTAGCGTCTCTGTCGTTACACCGAATCTAACAGACTCCTCCCAGACGAACAGTTTGGCTTTAGAGCCAATCACTCATGCACCCACCAGATTCATCGCCTAACAGAATACATTCTGTCTGGCTTCAACCAAAACCCTACAAAGAAAAAGTCTCGGAACACGGGAGCCCTCTTCTTCGATGTCGCGAAGGCGTTTGACAAGGTCTGGCACGACGGCTTGATTTACAAGCTATACAAACTAAACGTGCCCGATAGGCTCGTGCACATCATACGAGCTTTCCTTTCGAACCGCACTTTTCGATATCGAGTGGAGGGAACCCGTTCTTCGAAACACTTCCTCAAGGCCAAGGGCTCCGTCCTATCTCCACTCCTCTTCACACTCTTTACGAGTGATATCCCTAAAGACCCCGTGGTGAACACCGCACTCTTCGCCGACGATACGGCACTCTATGTCTCAAACTACAACAAAAATAGACTCTCTTTAAAGCTCCAAAAAGCGACCAATCGCCTGGGTGAATGGTTCCGCCAATGGAAAATTGACGTGAATCCCGAAAAAAGTGTAGCAGTATACTTTCAACGGAATTCAACAGCAGGTTCTAAACCAAAAATGATTTCTCTATACGACCGCCCAATCCCTTGGGAAAAATCGGCCAAATATCTAGGCGTCACGTTCGACTCCCGCATGAGTTTCGCGACGCACATAAGTGTAGCGCGCAACAGAGCCAAGTCAGTCATTGGCCGTCTACACCCTCTCGTTAACAGTAATAGTAAGCTGTCGCTAAGACACAAACTCCGACTGTATAAAACCTGCGTTAGACCTATTATGTCCTACGCAAGTGTAGCTTTCGCCCACACCTATAAGACCCACATTTTAAAACTCCAAAAAGTCCAAAACTTTTTCATCCGAAAAGCCACCGGTGCGCGGTGGTATCAACGGAACTCTGATTTGCACAATGATTGTGAATTACCCTCTATCTCCTTCAATGAAATACTTCAAGGAGATGTATCAACGCTACTTTGATAGAATAGAAACCCACCCTAACCCGCTAGTGACAAACGCAGCTAACTACTTTCCGATAACAAACGTCGCGCCCTATCTCCGTAGACCGCGAAATGTATTAATAGAACCACCTCTACCACTCGATCCAGTCGACCCAAACGTCGCAGGCACATCACACAATTACACTACACCCACACTAAATGGGACGAACATTACTAGGATTACGAATGGGGTGCGTCGCACTCGCAGACGGGCACGACGCGTTCCAGCTCACACCGTGTACACACCGGACACCCGCGTTCCTAGGCGGTTCTTACCGCCCAGACCATCGACCGACACGAGCTGAGCAGTCAGAGACGGGGGTCTGCACTTCTCCCCTCGGACTGCGGTTAGATACATCAAAAAACGCCTAAAAAGGCGACATGATGATTGGTAACAATACCAAATCATAAACTCATTGCCATTACCTTATTTTAATTAGCTCGCGGCCTTGCAGGCCGCGAGTCCTGAATCAGGTGAAGCTGTAAGAGTCGCATAGACTAACAGCGCTAACATCCAGAAACTAGAACTCTGAGGGCTCTGAATTCCAGCCGTACAATTTCACCATCGCACATAGCGAAAACTCGCTATACCATCCATACTATCTGGATGACTGGCGGTCCACCACTGTGGATTTAAAAGAAGTTTTCTTCCGCGCACAAATTCCTTGTAGAATCGACTACCACTAGAGATTTTTCAGCAACGATACGACTTAGGGACCTTCCAGAAAGGAGCCTACACCATTTTAAAAGGCCGGCAACCCATCTGCCATTCCACTGATATTGCAGTTGTTCATGGGCAGCGGTAATCACTTACCACCAGGTGAGCCGTATGCTAGTTTGTCCCCACTCCTATATTAAAAAAGTAAGAATAAACCCACACTTTTATAGCGACTACATAACAGCTCCTTGGTTTGTGTTTGGAAGCTTGGTAATATTGGGTGTGATGGTGAAATGCCAGCCTCACCGACGAGCAGCCGACTCCGACGAAGAATTATCTATATATTCTATATATTAAACTAAAATTCCGTCGATAGTGATTAAGAGCAGCAAACCAGTGGGACAATGTCGCGCTTACAAATCCACATTTCCAACGTATTGAGTTAGTTGGATTATTCCTCGAAAGTCTCAATTTAAGCTATATACTTAAGATGCCATTGATGCGAGAGTTAATGATGAATTTACTTAAATGATTGGATGAGTCTAAGTAGGCGTAACACTAAGTCACCGCACTTCCGCTCCACACCTCCAGTGTAGCGCCACCATTGAGAGCGCAACTAACCAGCATCGAAGGTCTTTATGTACCTGTTTTCCGCCTACTTTCTGAAACTCTGCTGCAATTCCACCAAATAAGACATTTTACTGTACTTGATGTTTTTTTTAATTTCTCATCATTCATACATACTGGTTTCCTAACGGTATTCTCCTTCACCTTGAAACACGTAACAAAATCAATGTGAGAAAATTTGAGGACCAGTACATTTTTACCGTACTTTAGTGTGTATTGCTGTTACAGTATTAACAGATGCTGGAGATTTTATGACTGTTGCGAACACGTGTTTAGAGAAAGGAATTTTATATGATTTTGCTAAACCGTGGCTTGGGGAGGGCTTGTTGACTGCACCGCGTAAGTAAAACTTGCATAAATTTATTTTATGTATTTAAAAGTAAAATAAAGTTTTATTTTGTGACCATTACAGTAGCAAAATGGAAAACCCACAGAAAGTTACTAAATACGGCATTTAACCAGCAAGTTTTGGATGGATTTTTAGATGTTTTCAATATCCAATCGAGGCGTTTACTTGAACAATTCGCTGTGGAAGAGGGAAAGGGACATTTTGATCCTGAAAATTATATAATGCGAAACTCCTTGGAAACAATATTCTGTAAGTCCTTTTATAATTTTTTTTAAGTAAGGATGGAAATCGAGTACATGGCCCCGGTACCCGATTGGTAATGAATGTTTTAGTTCAAATACAACATCACCTTAATCAAAACAAAATGCAATGCGTACCAACATGATGAATATGCGTGATCATCAACAAATTAATATTTAAAAAAAATCATGCGTGCTGGTGTTACGTGGTCACACGTGGTAGAAGTGAAACCTTCAGAAAACTAAATTTCAAGAGAATGAGACGGATGCAGAGCGTCAGGAGTAGGATAATTGTAGAGCTTATTAAATATTGATACATACTTCAAGATTTAAATTTCAATAAATGAACAAATGACACGAGTGGTATATAGTACCTAATTAAAGTATGATTATTGTTTTTGCTTTTTTATTAGGCCATCTGATTCATTACATAAGTAGGTAAAGTTATTTTATCGAACAAAAATTGATTGACTCTACAAGTGATACGTAAAATAGAGTCTAGATGGCCTGAAGTTATGAAATCGTGTACGGTTATGAACAGTTTGCTTAAGATAACGTTATTTAATATGGTTAATTTTATTTGTATAATAAAGTTATTAATTTTTATACTGTTTATTTTATCAGTTAAAATTTATATTAACCATCTTTGAGGCACCGCACAAAGTAGAGACCGAGATAATAGGACCTACTGTTATTTTTTTAATACATTAACATGCTGAAAATGCTTGTTTTAGGAGTAGTTCAAGACAGTAGTCGAAAGGCGAATTCGAACCCACAACTCAAAAGTGTTCGCAGTCCGCATACTGTCATTAGGTTACTATCGCTTACTACGCCGTATTTTGTCTCATTCTTTCGCAGACTATATCCTATAGATGTATATGTTTGTCTCTTTTTAGTGTTACTTTTTCATTTAATAGAGTTTGAAATCACAATCATTCTAGGGTACGTTATATAATATTCTATAATATTATATAGAATATTATATATTTCGAAAAACAATTGTGCGTGTTGTATGGTTAAACTAACTGTAAACTAACTGTGAGATAATTAGTGAAAGCTTAGAGAACTTGTTAACTTGTTATATACTCCAGAATGTTTAGCATAATTATTACAATCACAATTATACAATAACAGATGTTTATTTTTGTTTTAGTGACAGCAACAGGTATAGATTTAAGAGCCGACAAAACTCTCAACGAAAATTACGTGACTCTAACGGATAGAGTTCTCAGAAGTGTGGTTTACAGATTCCAAAATATATGGCTTTACAAAGATTTTATTTGGAATATGAGCAGTACAAAAAAGCAACAAGATAAAGATATCGAGTTCTTACACGATGTGGCAAACATGGTATATTTTGTATTCGTATTCCTATTTAGTCTTGGTTTTTTATTCTTTTTCATCTTAGTCCTCACAGGTGGCTATACAACCGTAGTCATCTTTATTTGAATTTGGTAATATGGTGGACAATTAGCTGGTTAATCACACAATGTCAATATAGGCATTATAATCATCAAAATTTTAAGATGTGCTTCGTGTGTATCGAAGAAACTCCCGACTTGAAAAGCGTATGGAATTTTTTTTTCAATTAGTTTTTTAAAGCTTTTTACGCAAACATCACAAGCTCTATGTATCATCTAGAAAATTATCTAATAGTTTTACATTAAAAACTTCATCTCCCATTATTCATCTCCCCTGAAGTATAAATTTATTCAATAAAATAAGTAAAGTAAAGTAAAGTTACAGCCTATATACGTCCCACTGCTGGGCTCAGGCCTCCCCTTATTTCTGAGAGGGTTTAGGGCAAGGAAGTGTCCGCCGCGCTGCCCAAATGCGTGTTGACGAACTTCACATGTCTTCGAAATATTTTTTTCTTATTCCTCAGACATGCAGGTTTCCTCACGATGTTTTCCTTCACCGCCGAGCACGTGGTAAATCAGCACTTAAAATTGCAATTAACAATTTCATTGGTGCCGGCGGGGATCGAACCCGGGTTACTCGCGTTCTGTTATATTTACAGCGAGCGTTAACCACTGAGCTACCACGGCTCTCAATAAAATAAGATTTATTAGAATTCAATAAACCGTTTCCGAGAAATCTATGAACATATCTAAAGAAACATTCCAGTACCGTGCAGCGGCGGTGTTAGAATATCTACAACCCAATATCTTCCCGCGGGTGTCGTAAGAGGCGACCGAGAGAAAGTGAGATAGGTCATGGGCAACAGCAATTTCCTAATAATAGGATAACTACTATAAAAATGGGTTTTCCAACTCACTCGCCAAGCTTAGAAGCAATGACAAACATCCCACTATGCACAAGGCCAATAAAAACGGCCTCTAGTTCAAAATTCTCCTATATGGTGCTAGTGGGAGACTATAACGCTGGGAGACTTGAACGGTGAGCTGAAGGTTGGGAAATTCAAAGTGGAGCAACAAAACTTAAGGGGTCATCAGCTGACTGAATCTTTATTCCAGAACCGGCCCACAGAAAGAGGACCTCGTAAAGCCCAGTATGTTCCTAAAAAAATGAGATTGATGTCATTATGATAACCAGATGGCAAATGTTCAGTGATGTCTGAGTGATCGCGAGGGTAAAAACTGGTAGTGATCACCGAATGGTAATAGGCATACTGAACTTTAAAATTCAGCTGGAGAGGTCACGCCTCATGAAGTCAACGTGAGGTCCCCTTCATGTTCTAATCCAAAGCCCCGACAACTTCAGTGGCTAGAAAATGTTAAAATGTGTATCAAAATACACATCTAGAGATTAATCAATAACAGCTAACGACATCTGTTATTTTCTGCGGCAACTCTTGTATAAAATCCTGTTCATTTTTTTTCATCCACACAACTGCTCCCCTTTCCTAACATCATGAGCCACATGCTCTTTCCCCCTCTTAAAAAAGTCATACAATTGAAATAAACATCAGTCCAAGTAGACGCGTCGTGTACATTTTGTTAGAAAATTGTAATACAGCGGACGATACGAATGACAAATTGATGGAAACTCTCCAAACGGTAAGAGCTAAGTTCAGCAAAACTTGTTGCTGTAAAACCCAAAAATTTCCTACTATAATAATCACATTCTTAATCTTAACACTATTAAACGGGAAATGAAGCTGTCTTCAGCAGATATGACAGCAAACAGGCAGTTGGACAGACAGACAGACATACAGAGACACAGAGAGACTTATGCGACTTCAATACAGCTCGTAATGAAATAGCGATTGAGTGGAACCAAGGCTCCAAAGTTTTTGACAGAGATATGCTTTGAATAAAACTATTATTTACGGATTTTTTTTTTCGCGTTTAATTACTTTAATTTATTTTTATTATTATCCCGACGTTTCGGGTGCTTTACAGCGCCCATGGTCACGGGGGGGACTGAGATGTTTGACGTCCCAATGTCATAGTTAGTCCGGCTACCTTCAGTTTTTTAATATTAATTTTTGGTCCGATTTACGCAAAACGAGCTTATAGTATCATGAAGTCTTGCAGTGGTATGCTTGGGTTTGGGTTTAATTTTGTTAATTATAGGATCCCAAGCAGATGGTAGCACCCAACCATCTTCTCTATTGAAATTTGGATGTTTTTTAATTTCAATAGCCTCGCGTATCATCCTTGGTAGGAATCGGTGTTCTTTTGCGAGAATTTGTGGTTTATCAAATCTAATGTAATGGTGGGGACGATCTTGAACATGTTCGCAGACTGCAGACTTCCCGGAGCGTCGGTGCTTCACATCAGCTATATGTTCCTTCACGCGGGTTTTTATAGATCTCTTTGTTTGACCTATGTAAGAGAGACCACATTCACAATCTAGCTTGTACACACCTGCATCTTGTAGAGGAATATTACATTTGATGGATGGTAAAAATTGACTAATCTTCTTCAGCGGCTTGTAGTATGTCTTAATGGACGCTCGCTTCAAGATGTAGCCAATCTTGTCCGTGACTCCTCTAACATATGGTAGTAGAGTAGGCGCGCGCTCGACTGTGGCCGGCTTCACTCGTTCACTGTGACGTAGGCGCGGGACCCGAAGCTTGTTGTCTTGCAATACTTGCTTGACGTGCTGAAGCTCCGCGGCCAGATGTTTTCTGTCACAGATCCCTCGTGCTCTCTGAAACAAAGATTTACCCACGGTAGCTAACTGTGAAGGATGATGGTGAGATTCACCATTTAAATATCGGTTGGTATGGGTCTTTTTCCTATACACAGTGTGACCAATAGTGTTATCAGGATTTCGGATGACCAAAACATCTAGGAAAGCTGAAAAATTTTGCCTCTAACTCCATTGTGAATTGTATTTTAGAGTTTATGGAGTTAAGGTGGTCTAAAAATGCAGTTACTTTGTCAGATGGTAAAATTGTGAAAGTGTCGTCTACGTACCGCTTGTAGAACCTTGGATTTACAGGAGCAGTAAGAAGGGCTTTCTCCTCAAAGTCCTCCATGAATATGTCGGCGACTATGGGAGACACAGGTGAGCCCATCGCCACACCATCTACTTGCTTGTAGAACTCTTCCTTCCACAATAGATAGAGATATGCTTGCCGGAAAGAGCTAACTGTCAAATTTGAAGACCGAATCTGGTGGCATGCTTTCCGGGACACCTGAGAATTCGTGTAAGATTTAGAGGTTTACGGACAATTGTACATTGTTGAAGCCACACAAAATGTAAGTAACGATTTACGTCAGTTTGAGCGAAAGTATAATAGCCCCCTAGTAACTTAAAACAGCAAGGCATCGGGTAAGGATGTAATTACAACAGATGTTTAAAAAGATGGTTGAAAACTAGTAATTAAGCTCTGAAAAAGCCCTTTAATTCCGTCCTCCGTGGTGGCACTACTCCGTGTACATTGAGCAGAATTGCTTTGATCTCGTTCTTCAAGAAAGGTGACAACTCTATACTCGTATTTAAGAACTAAAGACAGATTAATCTTCTGAGCCGCGTTTATATGCTGTTTTCTAGAATAATTACTAACAGTCTTGCTAGCAGACTCGACGACTTCCAGCTTCCCGAACAAGCCAATTTCTGAAAAGGCGTATATAGTACGAGGGAGACAATAAAAGATCTTCGAAAATCAAAAACTGATCAAACTAGCAAGTTATGAGTTTTATTATAGCTTTTCAAAGTAGTACCCATTTACATCAATAGATCGATGCATCCAATGGAACCACCGAGGAAATCACTTTGCCTACTCGTCCTTAGGGGTCTCTTCGACGGTATTTTGAAACGCAGCCACTGCTTCCTCGGCGTCCATAAAACGTTTTCCTCGAAGTTTTTTTTTTTATTTTGGGAAATAAATGAAAATCGCAAAATGCGCGGTCGGAGCTATAGGACGGGTAACCCAGTACCACGTCTGGCATCGCCAAGTAGTCAATTGTTTGCTTGGTGGTGTGCGACGAGACGTCGTCGTGGTGAAGGAGAATCTTACTGCGAGGTCATTTCTCCCGAACTTTTTCCAAGACAAGTGGCAAATAATTGTAAGTGTACCACTCTGCAGTAACTGTTTTTCAATCTTCTAAAACAATTGTTGCGTAATAACGTGAACTTCCGAAGAACGAGGCCACCATCTTTTTTCACACGCTTCGACCTCTTTTCTTAGTTGACAACTCCTCGAAATTAAACACCTAGACAGCAGACTGTCTCTTAGTATCGGGATCATAACAATAAATTCAGCTTTCATCACCCGTATCTTTGAACCGTTCCACGACACCAATCCACATGACGGAGTTTTTAGCTTATGTCAAATTTTAACTTATCCACCGGGCACAAAGCTTCCTGGCCGCTAAATGTTCATGGAGGATTTTGTGTAGGTACTTGACTCATACCGATGCTTAAGCTTGTCCAAATCGGCTGATAAGTCACTCTTTCCACCCTGCCCTTCACGCAGATCATCGGTGAGAATAGTGCGACCACGTTTAAACTAATTAAAACGTAAAAGGCCAATCGAAGCCTATCATAAGTTTCATGTTGACTTAAATGACATCAAAATTCATAAAAAATCATTGTACGAAATTTTTCTCTTCTCGCGTTAATGATTTCGTTAAAATTTGGGCGGTGCCACAGTCCTTTTAGCGATATCAAGTTAACTATCGGTATATCAACGTGCACACTGAACATTGAAGAACACACTAAACCTAAACGTTAAGTTGGAGAGGTCTATTCTAATGAAGTCAACGCTCCATCCTCCTTGTGCTCTAATCCGGAGTCCTGAAAACTTTCAGCTCGAGTATTACAAAACCGTTTTCAATGCCTAGAATATTGCAATGTAGTGGACTATATAAATGACAAGCTCATGGAAATTGTCCATGCGGTCGGAGCTAAGTTCTGCAAGACCCGTCGCAGAA